GTGAAATGAGTGTTTAGCGTCCGCCTTAGGATAACGCCTAAGTAACGACTATATTTCTTTATTTTGAAGAATATTTTCAAATCAAAGTTATTTACAATATAATATTATACATAATAATTAAATTATAATTCAATATTTACATATAAGCTACCTGTATTTCTATATTATAAAGATTTGTATTTCAAAACTATTGCCGTTCAAAATATAACTGATTAAGTTTTTTCTTGTTGACGGGGTAGAAAATCCTAGAGGCTTCTCCCTGCCTGTTTGCCCAATCATTGCGTGTCACGGCCCTCTCACATTTTGGTCGGTATCAATGGTAGTAATGATTGCCACTGATTAAGAATTATAAACCATTTTATTTGTTTGATGCTTTTAACGGCACTTTTGCAGGAGATTGATGGGAAACTGGCTCGCTGAAATTTTTGAATCTGCACAAAATACTCGTATGACTGTACAACTGTCCAACTCTTAGAGGGATAACGATCGGCAGCAACCTTTATTACATAATCAACGAACTATGGCATCAACTTTAGACTAACCTAGGTCTGATTTGATGATGATAGGTAGAACGGAGCAATTGATACGGTGCTGCATTAGGTCATGTTCATAGACCTCGCAGTAGAGGGAATGCAACGATTGTTTGGCTTGTCAACATGTCAGAAAGAAGATTCGAACCACTGTTGAGGTGTTTGTGTATTTATGAAGGAAATGCCAAAGAGATAAACAAAATCATAGGTTTTGCCAACCAATAATACTTTTCAGGGTTTATATAAGCCGCAACGGGAGCTGAATCTCTCGATGAAAAAATGCTGGTGAGCAATGGAGATAAATTCTATATTGTGACTACCAGTGGCGGCTATAGTATCTTTATGAGCTGTGGCAACAAAGGCTATAGTCAAGGTGTTCTATATTTATGTACTTGATGACCATCATCAAGGACAGAAGGCTAAAACAGGCGAGGTCTATAGCCGGTGCGTCCAATTTGTATGTTATTGTTTTGATTATTCTTTGCCTTCGCCTGCTATTGACGTTCCGTCAAGGAACGTCAATAGCAGGCGAAGGCAAAAGCCGGTGATATATTATTTGAATGCTTGGTATCTTTTACTAGTGACGGAGCGGCTACAGCATTTCATACAAAAATGTAGTGTCAAAGTAACGTTACATTATTGGCTCAAGTGTCCGCGAACGTGTTAAGGGTTCCGTTTTTGCCTTTTGTGGTACGGAACCGTAAAAAATGAAGGATAGTAAAGGGCTCTATCAAAATTGTCAAACAAGAACAAATGTTGTCTCAAAATCCATGATTATACTTTAAAAAATTGAAATCCAATAAAATGTAGCCAAATTGATCTAAATGAGGAATCGAAAATTTCTTAACCTTGCACAGGAAACGAGTAAAGTATTCAAGAATCACGCACTAAGCAAAAAATCCAATAACGTAGTTCCATTATACATGCAGAACGTTTGATAAGGCCTACTTGATTGAGTTCTTAATTAAACAATATCTGTGATTTATCAGTCTCACGCAACTTAACAATTTACGAGGTTGGGATTTTCTTCCAATGTGATTCTGATAATTGATAGATAGTACTAGGATAGCATACTATTCGAATTGGTATTACGTAAAAAGTTTGCATTGAAGTTATCTCGGTTTATTCCATCGACTTAATTGCACCTACATTATGATGAATTGTAATAAACCCTTTCTTCAAATTTGAATATTTTAAGATCAAACAGAAAGTATACCCATCCTAATAAAAAAGTTTTTTTCTAAATAGGTTCATCATTGACGGTTTAAAAATCAACAAAAATAACTTGGAAATTCAGATCTTTTCAAAAAAGCCTTTTTTAATTATTGTCATCATTATCATCATCATCAACAGCATTTAATATTCAACTGCTGGACATAGACTTCTCCTATACCACGCTGACCAGACAGGTTGGTATAAGGTATGTTTCAAGTTTTCCTTCTTTTTGTAGTGCTGTTGTCCTGTGTGGTTTGCTGCCTTAGTCGGTTCTTACGAATGGAGAATGGAGTCACTCAAGAATGGAGGTGGTGCGTATTCTTTATCCGTCACCACACGTAATTGTTGTACTTATCTCCTTTTTATTATTTATTAAAGGTGGAAATCAGGTTGTGTTTTATAAACTTGAGCTAGGGTAATTTAGTTGTTATTAACAAGATCAGTAGGCAATAAAGATTTTTAGGACATTTTTCTTGAAAACTTAGTCAGAAATTTAATTTGTATTTTATAGAGGATGAAAATCTTTGTTTTAAATTTCGATCTTCTCTTATTCAATTACGAAATGTAGAGAATATTGTCACACATGTCTTTATAAAAAATGGCTGCCTTAAAGTATTGTCTTAAAGTTTTGCAACTAGGTGATTTAAATGTATGAAATATAGAAATGACTTTTGCGAGAAGTAAAATACCGATATAGACGAACACGACTGATTCATAGTATGTATATATACAATGCAAAGAAGCGATAACATCCTAGCCGGCTAAGTAGGGCGCCACCACATGCACACAATTCAGACTGAGTAGTAGTCACATACTCTTTCTCTTTATTTCTTTATTAATCCATGTACTACTGGTAACCTATCCAATTTGATACATCATCAAATACAACTTAAATCTACGAGTAAATAAAGTCTGTATGGTCGATCTATCACATCTCAAACCCAGTCACGTCAAATAATCTGTTTCAACGCAAACGAAATCCCGCTCAAAACTATACTATGAAAAAGGCATGTGTTTTAAAGAATATCTGCTGGGCAATCTTCAAAGGCGTCTTTTCAACTAATCTCCTGCTTGTTACTTTTTGAAGTAAAACTTCTTTACGCACGCTTGACTTGGGGAGTAAGCTGGTGAATATGTGGGCGAGAGCGTTACGAAAAGTGTGATCGGGCGAGGCGAACGGAAGTTAAGAGGGAGATATAAGTTAATGAAGATAGAAAGAGAGAGAGTTACGTTTCGTATATGACTGTAGGGGCAAGAAAGAGAGGTGCGAGCACACACTTTCTTTCTCTCTTTCTCTTAAGTTAAGACACAGTGCAGGCCTATTGTCTATATCACTCGTGTGGTCTAAAGCACATTCGTTTTTTTTAGAAGTTCAACCTACTTTCTCATATTTATATAATACAAGCTGACCCGCTCAAATTCGTCTTAAATTGTAATAATAATATTTCGAACATCTAACACACAACGCCATCTAGTTTCAAACTCAGTAGAGCTTGTACTATGAAAGCTAGATTGACTGATAGAATACTTATATACTTTTTATTTGTAAATACATACATATTATACATAGAAAACACCCAACCTTCGAAACAAATATTTGCAGATCATACAAACGTTTGGCCCAACTCGGGAATCGAACCCGAGACCTCAGCACGGCACTCGCATACGTTACGAGGCACCGGGGCAGTCACGCCACGTATCACCTAATGGTAAGTAATTATCAACGTTCATGGACACTAACAACTCGGCAGACACTAGTTTTTTTTGGGTGAGGTCCCCGGTAACCTCACAAAATTGCTTAACACTGGATTTCTGTGAGGCGGTCGTATCACTGACTCACCCAAGGTTAATTAAAACGTTGACAATGCGATCACTATGTTTTTCATCATTATCATCAACAGCCTTTAGTAGTCCACTATTGGACATAGGCCTCTCGTTAGAAAGGAGGTGACCAAATTATGACTCGTAATATTATAAGGGCCTAACAAAATACGATAAATTTTTGTGGCAATCTGTACATTAAAAAGAAGGTTGCAACTTCTTTAAAACTTCTTACTTCGTGGATAGTACCTACATATATTTACAGATCAAAATAATTCGATAAGGTGGTTGAAGAACGGAACTAATAATATCTCGTAATGTTAGGGAACCCCTAGATGTTTCCGGATAACGTTCTGGCGGTTTGTTTAATGGTCATATTTTCTGATACTCTGTTCCTTTATGTGTCATTCTGAGGGGAAGAGAATACAATAGAAGTGGGGTGAACTGTCTAAAGCGAAACAATGACCGGTAAGCAACGGACGGAAACGGTTGTGGCCGCATGGAAAACCCTCTGTAAAAATTTTTCGCTTTCTATGAAATATTGGTTGGACGTTTATTTGTGATTTGGTTGAAATCCTCCAGAGCCTTTATCTTGAACAGTATTAGACTGGAGCGCTGATGTTGCAAGAGCGAAAACCGCAAAGGTTTATGTACCACGAATAGTAAGAAAACCACAAATAGTAGTAAAAAAGAGTTGTAATTACAAAATATCTCAACGGAAATCTTCAAGAGGAAGAAAACAGGTAAAGTGTAAAGAAGTTTATTAGAAATGTAATACTTTGACTTAGGAATGGAAAATTCCTGGTATTATACAGTGGCCATCTTATTCTCTACCCTGTTCAGTCAAAAAGTTACTAATTCTGACTGAAGGTGTGCTAAGGCGAGAGTCGCTTACAATACAGGCGGCGGCAAAATCATCTATTTTAGACTAGGTCCTAGTCCGAAACAGACGTTTTGCCAAAACCGTCACACGGTAATCATAACATTTATTATATGGCATCGACACCATGTAATACCGTAAACTATTAGCCTCTGCGGAACCTAAGCAAAGCAAGAGCTTTTGTTATGTCTTAAAAACGCAATCAAAACTATAATAAAATATCCTCATGATTAATGATATCCTGGTAGAGTGATAGCACACACCAATATAATATAGTTTATTGAGTAATGAAGTATGATTGATTATGATGGTGTTCATAATACAAGGATACAGAGCGTAATATTTCAATGAACACGGTACATCAATATAGGTATGTATATTACTCCTCAAGTTTCTTGTTGCCTTAGTAAAATAGGTAACCAAAATCACCTGTTAATGAAGTAACGAAGGTACATAATATAAAAGGACAAAACCAACGAGTTTAAAGGTCCTCGAAATTCGCGTGTTGTATATAAACTACGAATAAATCTGGCCTGTATATTGAATTATAATTATTAATAAGTTGAAGTGAGCAGCGGCACATGCTGAAAGACAAACATCTAAATGCAATGATTACTGATAAACATATAAATGTAGATATTCTTTCTCACCTTAACTGGCGGCGTAGGTATATAAAGAGGGGGATCGTTTTGTGACCCACTATATATATCTTGACCATCCATCCCCATTTTGCATCCTTCAGCATCATGCACGCTATATCGGCACACGATGCCGTCGGCTGGCTTTGCATCGTATCCTGGTGGTTTTCCCACGTGGAAGCCCTTCGCTTTCACCCAAAAGCGAAACTTGGAGCTGTCCGAACTATTACATTCCTCTCCTCGTAACGTGCGCAGGATTCGCGCATACTTTTTTAATGTTATAGTTTTCGTTTTAGCTAAATCTCCGTAGGTCTGTATCACCCACGGCTGATATGTTGAAAACAAATCCAATTTAGGATCTCCCGTTTGTATCTTAGGTCTTTTATTGTTGTTCTGCTCGTTCTTTTTATCTGCCTTTGAAGAACTGGCTGTAGATTTACGCTTCGAAGGTTTCCGAGGTGTTTTTTCTGGAATGGCTTCTTGTGTCAACTTTTTACGAAGTCCTCGATCACTAATCATCGCCGCAGCCATGATCAATAAAACTGTTTGCACTGCACTCAAAAGTTATATCCTCATAGTCTAGTTAAATGTTAATTTGTTTCTGAACTGAACACAAAGTCACTTCACGTTTTCGTCCCAAACACACTTTTGTTTTCCATAGAACAAACGCAACTCGTATCGTTCTGAGAAACGGTTAAAGAATTGTTTTCGCAGAAAGTTGTTAAACTGAAAAGTTTCGAGTCTCGTGCGTAGAACTTTTAGAACGCAAACTTTTGGCTGCGAAGTTCGCATCGACCTAAAAGGACTTGTAGAAGAAAAGTTTTTCCGTCGGGCGGCTAACGGAACCGCCACAGAAGGACGTCAATCGCCTTTTCAATATTTTTGATTGCGGTAATGCCGCTTCTGGATCAATAGCATTTTCAAAGTAACCTTGTTAATTCCTGATGAGATGTACCTACATTGCATATATATAGTTTTATACTCATGCCAAATTGATGGAAATGATAAAGAGTCAATTTCAAACTTATTGTTGATAAACAGTCCGGCTGGCAACAGGTGTCAGCGATCGAACTACGGCAGAAGAAAAAAAATACTGGCCAAACAAAAAGTACCGGATGGTGAGGGGTTGGCGTCCCGTACGGAGTTCGCGCGGCGGATGTAGGGCTGCGCGACACAGATCCTACCGTGACGGCCGCTCGCAGTCAGCGCGCGCGGAGTACTGAAGTACGGTACGGGCGCTTGGCGCACGGCGCGTCGAAGCGCGGTACGCGGCACGTGCGGGACGGGCCAACGCTAATTGCCCGCAAAACAATCGGACCGATCGTCGGCCGCGGGGCGCCGCGATGTGGCGATAATAGTCACACTTGTGCCCCTCATTCTCTTAGATAACGCTACGCCGCTATTGTTCCATAGATAACTTTACTCCCGGCTACCTATGCCTATGTTGACTTTATTGTTCGCGGATGATGCCAAATATCATTAACACTAGTGCGTCGCATACCGCTGAAATGCAACCTGGTATAAAGTCGTCTATACATACACTAATCATATGATTGATGCCTGCAAAGTAGGTTAAGTCTTGAATACAGTATTTAAGTGAATGAATAAAGTGAATAACACTTTTATTGGTACTAGACATGGTGATCCACAAATTGTCGTTCCGACCGTTTCATGTATGTTTGTAAAGTCCCACGTGACACATGATACAACTTCCGCACTAGGATATTCCTGGTGCGGAAGTTGCCTTTAAAAAAAATGAATTTCCTAACTTAGGTAGGTAAGTAGTAAGTACTGTTCTTTTGTCTGTCCCTTAGCAGATATATTTTATGATATCTATGGAATAGTACGAACATTTGTTATACGTGAGTCTAAGCACTTCAAAATAGCTTTTACCAAAATTATATTATTTAACTATGTAGAAAGAAACCATCTACAATAATCCAGTGTTGTCTGGTCTCCCATTTATAGGAATCATATTGATTGGCTTGAAAGAATACAAAAACGTTTTCTAAGACACTTGTCTGGCAGTTTCAAGATGTGCAAAGAACTAACATCATATAAAAAAGACATGAGTACTTTGGGTTGTCTTCTCTCGAGAGTCGCAGGAAGATGTTGGATATAATTTTTCTGCACAAATTACTGACCGGGACCATGAACTGCACCAAGTTGCTCAGCAGGATCGGCCTCAATGTGCCTAGATTGAACGCTAAGTCTTGTACTAGGCGAGAATATTTCTGTAGACCTAAATGCCACACGAACCTTAAATCGCATTACTCAATAGCCCAATTAGTTGCTGCCTTTCAACCTTATGCTAATATAATAGATATTAACTTTACATCCGTGCCTCGAATCAAGTTTTTTTTTTATCGAATAAGGGGGCAAACGAGCAGACGGGTCACATGATGGTAAGCAAATACTAATTGTATTAGATACAAGAAATGTAAGCTTTTAGGAGTTTATTTATCAATTTAAATTTATTTCTTTGCTTTGTAAGTTTTTGTAGTCTTATAATATTTTTTATGTTCACATTGTTTTTTGTAAATTGTTATTGCAGTTTTGTTGGTCTACGCTGTGCCTATCTGTAAGTGGCGTGATGGTTAGCTATAAAGTTTATACGTTTGTATTTACAAACGTATAAACTTTATAGCTAACCATCACAATGTATGTATTTACATACATTGTAATAGTGAACTCGCCGTTGGTGGCCTAATAAATAAATAAATATATAGTAGTTCAAATACACAATAAAAAGCTCTGTATCTATAAAAGTGAATTTAAAGTTGCTGTAATGAGTTTGACAAAAAATGTTTTTTTTTGTCGTTTATTTAAAAGGGATTCTGTGCGTTTAATGAGTAAGTTGATTTATGACAGATAAAAAAATAACTTCTCGGACAGATTGCAAGATTCCTTTTAAAGTCGGTTGAATAAATGAACAAACATAATGGTATAAAATAGTGGTTTTTTTTGTTGACGGGGTGGAAAATCTTTTCGGATCGCCGCCTAATCGGGACGCAGGACCAGAAGTAAAAACCACCTCGACGCGACAGCTGGTCAGAAATAATATTATTCATATTATTTTATTATTATTATTATTCTCTTTATTTACTTTATACACATATTATTTACATTTTTAACATACACTTTATATAAAATATTAAAAAATACATATTTAAAAATATAAAAAATAGTAGACCACCGACATCGATTACAGGGACCAAGACACCGGTGGTTAGGACTCCAAAGATAGGAACCTTCTCACTATACGAGCCGTGTCAAGGAAGACTGCCTTCTGCATCAGACCCTTGATCCAGCCGTCCAACGTGACCCTCTTAAGGTGTTGGTCGAGGCTCTTGGCTATCAATCCGTGAGCAAATACGACTATCGGAACAATGATCACTGAATCAGCATTCCACATATCGACAATCTCCTGAGATAAATCCAAATATTTGATTTGTTTTTCTTTTTCAACTTTCACGAGATTCTGGCCATGAGGAACAGCGATATCAACAATCAATGCGCGGCGCTCTAATCGATCTATCACCACAATATCTAGCTTATTAGCAACAATAGTCCTGTCTGTGATAATAGATCGATCCCAATACAACGTGGCCCGACCATTCTCGAGAACTGGGTCGGGCACATACCTCTAATATGGCACCTCTAGATTTACAAGATGGTATTTAAAGGTACTTGATTGTGCCTGTGCAAATATTCACCGTTAGCAAGACGAGAACAACCAGAAATAATACGCCTGATTGATTCGCCAGGACCATGGAGCTCTTTGCCCTTCCATACTTCCCAGCGATCTTCTTTCTTCTTCTTATTATTATTCTTACTCTGGTCAGGACCTAGATATGCCTTATCCCGCTCGCGTTTTGCGACTAGGCGGCCATCCTATCCTCTACGTCAGCAATTTGTAGAGGACTTGACTTGTTGAGACTTTCGAATGTTAAAAAAAGAGTGCCTTAGATGCTTTTCTTGTTCTATTAAATCATTATAATCACAAATAATAATCATTGTAATATGAACACCTACCATGGATCTACATAAATGATGGCAAGAGACGATGTAGGAAATGAAGAAAATAACTTTAAAACCTGTCTAGAGGCTAGAGGCAAAATAAATAATAATATTTATTTTGATTCTATATCCAACTGTTGAGTAAGTTTTAAACCAACTAACCAAGTCCAATAACGTTAGTATTGATTTTAAACACTAAGTACAAAATTTTAGGTTTAATATTGTACAATACTCCATTCAGTTTCGAATTTTCTTTTGGGTTTGCCTACATTTTTGTCTGCCATATTACTATTTTATCAATATTTATATAATATGAACTCCACCCGGCATGCGTTGCAATGCCACATAAAGTATAAAGAAACGAAAAAAACATTGGTATCAAGATCTTTTGTGTAACGAAACCTCTCAGGCGTCCATAAAACACCCTACGAAAGTTTTATCACAATCTGATCAACAGTTTCGGGATGCATAGGACAAACATACCACACTGATTTTTATTTATATAGATATAATTATATACATATTAGCTTTAACCCGCGGTTTCTGATTCTGATTGTTAAGTTTAATTTGAGATACTGAAAATTGAACTTCTACTTTAGGTATGTCATCTAAAATCAAACTTAACAATCAGAATCAGAAACCGCGGGTTAAAGCTGACATGTATGTTTATAATAAATAATATACTTAATATAATTTAACTTTTACTATTTTAGTTTTTTTAAATTATTATTATCGGAATTTGATGTGATCAATATCCTAACAAATTTCGAAATTATATCTATTTCGAGGTTTAGATTGTTTAATTTTTTTTTAACTTTGAAAAATCATGAAACTTTTTTTATATGTTGATACTAGAAGTAAAAGTAACATCAGCCCACCGCCTGTCACTTTGTATTGAGCATGTTTAGACACTTATGCAGAACTGCTCTCAGCTCTAGACAGGGGCATCCCAGTACAAGCTTCTCCCTTTATGCCGTATGTAACGAAGATTAATACAACTATTTATTCTCCGCGGAGCACCGAAAAGTTAAATATATCATACCTATATAATATAATTAACTTTTTGGTGCTCCGCGGTGAAAACACCAAAACTGTTCAAGTAAAATAAATATTTCATGAAATTACCCTGTTTATTAATTATAAAATACAAGATGTACTTGCGAAAGGTATACGCGCGAAATACACATAAACGCATTATAAAGAATCCCACTTCAAATCTTCGCAAGAGTCCTTGCCTTGTCCTTTTTCACTTCACTAAAATTGTGCTGACAAATTAGAAGTAAAAACAAAATTCTGCAGAAAGAGTTGTACCATTCTATATCACCGTTAAAAGTTGGGTGAGCGAAAAGCCGGTCGATAACTATGATGCCATGCGATTTTAAAATAAATGTCTTGAGCGCGACGCGACAGCCGGTGTGGCTCAACATGCGCGCGCGCTCCCATTCAATCACATTCACTTCGTTATATTGTAGACCTAAATGGTAGACAATTTTATATCTTATACGGGTTGGCTTTAAATCTAAATTGTATTAATAAAAAGGGGAACTTGTGTTGTTTGTATACCAATAGTACCGGTCATGCGCGCGCATCGCGCACGATCATGGTGCGCACGAAAGCCCGCACTCTTGCGCGAAATGTGCGCATGTTACTAGGCGCCCATAAAGTAAGAAGAGGCGCAACAGCGGCACGACCACCGACTACGATACAACGCGCGCGCGCCCGCTTAAAACATTTTAATCATATTTGATCTTTATGCGCATCGTGTTAAGTTCATTCTTATTTGATAATATGTTACAGGGTCTTTGATCATTGCCAAACTTTAATGGTTTCCATTCGGCCATTTTATGTATTTTAAATATTCTTTGCTTCTTATGATATCCTGTGAACTTGATGAACAAGTTAGCCATGATTTCAAATTATTTTTTTGTATCAAACTTTATCATGTAAATCCCTGAAGATACAACTGCATGAAAAGATCATCATATTTTTATTCTATAAATTTTGTTAGTAAAGAAATCAACTATTTATTATATAAAGGTATGTGGATGAAAGAGTACTCAGTATTTTAAATATTTCACAAAATTATTAGATTTTCTACATATAGAAAAACAAACCTGACGTTGACAAAACTACGTTTCTGACTGTGTGACTGACTAGCTTGGCAGTGGTAGATTAGATTGAATAAGAAGAATCGATGTTGCTTCATTGAACGAATTTCTACTAGGTTGTTAGAACCACATAGAAGGTAGTGTAATTTGACTCAGTTGATTGAATTGACATTTTGAGGTAACCATTGTAGTTCGAGAATAAAATAAAAGATGGCGTAAGTATTGTAGTTTGAAATTTTTGTAAACTCGTTGGTTTGAGATTTAGTTTTTGTGCGGTTGATTGTGATTGTGTTAGAATTTTACGTTTTACTAATTTCTATAATGGATTTTAATGATTAACGAATTATTTTCTTAATTGTTGCACTTACACAACAACAATAAGTACTTAAGAATTTACCTCTACTTGTATTTATGCACATGTAGAAGTAAATGCATGGTATAATAATAAATAAAAAATACAATTATGTATACTTAAAAAAATTAACGTAAAATATTAACTTGGTATCTTTATAGTCGGGGACAGTTATTTGCCAATTTTTATGTTTAAGGGCAAATGAAAATTTTTATGACTAAAAATCGTTCCCATTAAATAGCCATATGTAATCCAAAGCATTGAGAAAATATGAGTGTAAATTTTATTTTTTTATTTACACTTCCTGCATTACACCTTGCTCGAGGTGGACTTAATGCCACATGACACAATTGTTTCAAGTTCTAATTACCAAAACAACTACTACATACGTAAACGTTTTCTACATTATTCCTTAAACAATAAGGTCTAAAATACAATCTAAAAAGACACAAAAGCTATCTTCTACAACAACGACAACTATTTCGCATGGTAAGGACTTACGCGGTTTTGATTTTACTGAGTCGGGTTTATACTAGGATATCATATATTACTCGGAGTCATAAGTGATGCGATATCAAAGTTGTTACTGCCGTATTCTTATACATTCCTGGTAGTAGTGTTTCTAAAGAAACTCGAAAACCGCCTATCTGCGTTGGAAATTCAAGCGTGCATGCATAGTGTGCAAGCTGAATAACATTTCAAATGCCTTTTTCATACTGCTATCTCTTTCAAACATATCTAGAAATACATTTAATATTTGGACGTTCACGATCAGTATCGCTTCAACTTGTTCTTCTTTACTCGTTGCTCATCCGTGTCAGTGACATATTGCCAGTTCTTTTGTAGCCCGATTTACTAGGACATCATAAGTTGACAGAGTTTAAGTAAAAGTAATCCACCTCCTTAGCTAAGTTTGTTCAGGAATATGATGCAATGTTACTAGATCTACATGAGATGAGTAAGTATTTCCAAATTGAATATTATGTTAAATAGATGAATGTGTTAAATCGAAAACTTTAGTAGGTACATATACTAAAGATTTAATTCACTTCTATCTTCTCAATTTAGCGTATATAGAAGAAGACAGAAGATAGAATAAAATTGCCCATAGAGCTCTCTTTCCACAATTAACACTCTGTTTTGCGCCAACTCGTAAACATATATCTTATATTCCTGGTGTGCTCGTCAATTAGCTTTCCAGATTGGCTAAGTTTGATAATTAGTGCTCAGCTCTTACTGGACATTTCATGATCTCAAATAGCCTATAACGTTCCTCATGACGCTTCCTATTAATACTACACAGGTTCATATCTTTAGTTCAGAGACAAGTTATTTAAAAAAAAAAGACGTGTGGCACTCGGGGACTGCCGCGGTAAAGCTATTGCATAGCATTTTGTATCAACTTATGCAATTATAATTATTTATTTATTTTATTTATGCAGTATTTTTTTTCTTTGATATTAATTCAAGTTACACTTTTTGAGCGTGGTGACCGATAAGAAAACATTTTTTTTTCTTTTATTAAATAAAAATATTGAAACATATATTACAATTTGTTTTTAAATAAATAAATAAAAAATATTATTATTAAATCAAATTACATATCCATGTAAGATTTTTCTGCATTATGTTAACGAAATTTCCTTTGACGTTCAGCATTTGATTTTGGTACTGTTTTTTGTTTTGTTTTTAGCGTGAGGTTTTTTTCGTTACGGAAGTTCTGGATTCGGTCCCCGCGCTCAAGGCCCTCCACAGAAGCTATACAATAGCTTAATAATAAATAAAAATAATTATCATTTGTCTGTCTTAATTTACTCTCGCAATGTCATAAATGTTAATGTAATAGATTTAGGTTTTAAAGACACGATCTGAAATGCCTACTCAAAACAATAACAACCAATCTGCTCCAAGCTACTGCCATCTATGATATATATGAAGTATATCTCTACAGAGTACTGCTATCCTGGTGGTGTAGTGTCCTCGTATTCATCGTTGATACAATCGAGTCGCTCGCTAATGCGGGCCTTTCGTCGCACGCTCGGTGACGCCCGCCACCACGCTTCACGACCGCTGCTGAACAGCCGACGGTTAGTGATGTCACTAAGATAGACATAAAAATATCGATGTAATTCTTCTTTTTTGCATCATTAAACATCAGTAGGACGTATGTTTTATATTAATTACCTCAGATAATTTATAATTTATTCTATTACTATCCACTAGACATGGAAATTATTGCTACTTTTAAATCAAATTCATTTGAGGAAATGATTGGACTTAGTCACAGCGATTTTAAATGTGATTGTGATTTCGTCAATGACAAAGATAAGTGGCATTAAAATCAATCAAAATTCTTTTTATCAAAGATTACGACGTTTATTTTTAGATTTAGACCTTTCGCGAGTCTTGCGCCAGCGTAATAATAATAATTAAGTAGTAGTAGTGGTTTTGTAAATCAGTTACAGGTGTGATGAAATGACCTTTAAATCATATGATTTAATACTTGTGATTGTGATTTATATGATATTATATTATATGATATGATATTTCATTCCTACTGTCAACTGAACTTTTTACAACTTTTAAACAACATGATTGTTACGTGGGTACGTCAAAGTCGTACTTATTTTTTCGCTTTTGCATTCAATAGTTTTTGCTTTTTTGTTTAATGTTAGCTGTTTACTGTAATGATGGAAACATCATCATCATCAACAGCCTTTTATTGTCCACTACTGGAGATAGGCATCTCCTTAGAAAGGAGGTAGGATGGAAACACTACCATAGAAATATACAGAATATAAACAAATATATTTGACAATATGCGATATCTCCTCGAAATAATCGAATAAAAAATAGTCCCTCACTACTAACACCTACTTAACTGGCCAAGCCAGTGCCGCGCGTCGCGGTTTGATCGCTACTCCCTCCCTCCCTCCAACCACCCACCCTCACTCCCCACAGCTCGCTGCTTATCTGACGCGGAAGCCCAAAGAGCAGATATATTTCATCTCGCCACTCGACAGTTTTTCTGTACTCAGCGAATCCTGAACTCCTGGCGCTGTTTGCGCTCATGGTACTTCATCTATATTAACTGACAGCACACCGCCATTGAACGTTATAAGTATGCAGGCTCTCTTTAAGCTATTACACTAATTATATGCCTATATATTAAAATGTATTAATGTTTAATCAAAGATCACAATCGGTGCAGAAAAAGGGATGCGATATTTGATTAGGCGATTTAGCGCGATTACGAGACGTTGATAAAGAAGAAACTTCGACTTCGTGGAAAAAACCTTCTTAGGTTTTTCTGTATGGTCTATCTATTAATGTAATTTAACCTTACATGTTTATTGAAATAAAAAACATTAAATATCTTTTTTTCCAATGGAGTATTGTATATACTCTTTTTTTTTTGTAATTCAAAACAGATAATCTTATACATAAAATTCTCGTGTCACAATGTTCGTTCCCGTACTCCTCCGAAACGGCTTGACCGATTCTCATGAAATTTTGTGTGCACATCGGGTAGGTCTGAGAAACGGCCAACATCTATTTTTCATACCCCTAAATGGTAAGGGTGACCCATCCCTATTTTTTTTTTGTTTTGCAATACAACGTTTGCCGGGTCAGCTAGTTAGCTATAAAATTGGACTAGATTCATAGTCAGTATAACTATTCTGGAATAATATTTGAAATTCATATTTGGAACGAAAAGAAAGCCAATGACACACAATAATTATGTTTACAATTGCCAGAATAAAAATCGTTAAACAGTAAAAATGTATAATGTTTATTATCTATATTTATAAGATATAAGGTATAAGAGATTTCTACGTATATAGTCAGTCATCACGATATCTCTGGAACCATTAGAGCTAAAGACTTGAAATTTGCTAGAAATATTCTTTTCACCGAGTAGAGGTCAGCTAAGAACGGATTTTAAGAAATAAAAAAAATAAATGGAAATAGCAAAACAACGCTTGCAGGGTCAGCTAGTCGTTTATATAAAATATAAAGTCCTCTATCGTGGAAATAGGCTTTATCTGCATATAAAAAGAGAGTATATGTGTACCTACAAAGGCCGATAAAAATGATTTCCGTCCGATCTCCTTTGACCCAGATCCCGCCCTGCGGCTTACTATGAGCTTTAATTAAAAAATTTACGCCTACCGACACACCTAATTAGCGTCTGACAGGCTTAGCTTGGCTTTGAAGAGCAACCCCGGGTATATATGGCAAGAGATTGCGATATTAAACCTTAAGATTTACCTTACCTTTTACTTTTTATAAATACTTGTCAATCCTTATCTTCTACGAAAAGCAGGCACCGGCTGTTCGTAGAATAGTTAGTGCAACATTCTGAGACGTGGTACTATATTGTAGATGGAGGGGTGTTTTGTGGAAACATCCTGACGTCATTTAAACGCCCACGAAGCTTGTCACTGTACGAGTACAAATCTATTTCGAGACGTATATTTCGACCTCGTAAAAGTACAAAAATACTCGTATACTTAAGATTTTGTTTCTTTGTTGATATCACATAATAATATTATTTTAACTAGTCATTGATCAAACATATTCATACATGTACGAGTACATTGTTTTATACCTATTAGAAATACATCTGGTACTATCAATTTGAATACAGATATAATAATTACACATATTGATTGAAATACCTTTAAAGCATAGCTAGATAGAAAGAAATATAGATAATCTAGCCATGATTTTAGGTTTATTTACTGCTCAATATGATTGACTGACTGTTTACCAGGATATAATAAGACATAGACAGCCTAACCGCACGACTCCCAACTTGTCAAACGCAGGCACTGAAACTGTTATGGATTAGTACAAACTAATATTGAATTGTAACACAAAGTAGGCTATTTGTATACCGAGCCCAGCGTTGCTGGCTTTGAAGGGCTTTATTTGAAACTGAATTTAGTAAAGATTAATTTCTTTAATATCTGGATAACACTGATTTGAAGCGCGGGCAGCCAAAGAATTAATAGTGTATAGTTTTGTACTGATGAAATTAAGTTAAAAATACTTGTGACGTTTACGAATTTGAGACTGATTACCCTTTTTATAAAATTGCTGCCCTGTTCACAGTGGCTTAATTTTCTTAAAAAGCATTTTTGTACTCTTCTCTCGTATGTAATGATAAATTTTTACAATTTGGCAAATGGGTTAACCTCAAAATCTTAATTGTAATAAAGACATTGACAAGTATTACTTTGTGAACTACATGAATTCTATTCTTCTTTTTTTCGTCTGTTTTCTCTTACTTTCTCTAATTCTTCATCAAATAAGCTACGAGTAATTGTGGTGCGTGCTAATAGTAAGTTTTATCCGTGGGTACTATTTCATTGTCAGACCCTTACCCGGGTAATAAAATAAAACAAATATGCAGAAAATTTGTTATAAAAAGCAGAAACCGTCTTTCAGTGGACTTATTGCACGCAACAGTGTTCTTGAAAGCCCTTTTCTGTTAAGAAGAAAAACCTCAAATCTATAATAGGTTTAATTTGAACTATATATATATAACTAACTATAACTATAACTATACGTTTATTCTTAGAAGAAAGATTCTTAAAGGTATTTTAGTTCTTAATTAGTTAATGAGTACAAGACTGTTTAACTGTGTGACTGATTGTACTATAACTTAAGGAGACTTATGACTTACTTCACTCTTTCGTAATAAAATAAAACATGATTATGAGAAAATTGTTTGTGTTTCTGCAAAAATTGCCAATAGCGGCTATTATACCTATATAGTATATGAAAAAATAATACCTGAGCCCCGGGTATTAAAAAAGGTTGGATACGCGAAAACCCTACCCAAAACCTCCTTTCTAAGAAAAGGCCTACGTCCAGCAGTTGACCATTAAAGGCTGTTGATGTGATGATGTGAAAATAACTAGACAGACAGACAGACAGACGGAATCATAAATAATACTTTGATGTGATTTAGATGTGTTGTAGATTGGCCAGAAACAAATACTCAATAAAAAATTTAACCGTTGAGTGATGTCAAACTTGAAAAATATCGGTAATGACATGGCAACTGGGCACCAACATTACACCTTGAGACAGGGCCTCTGTCGAGTCTGGATTTATATATTTAGGAAGATATTGGAAAAATAGCTGGACCACAATGGATACGAATAGCACAAGATCGTAAACAATGCTAGTCCTTGGAAGAGGAAGGTTCCTAAACAAACAGGAAAAAAAAAGACTCAAATATAGATCTAATTCTTAGAAATAAGCTACACAAAAACTGTAATAGTTACTGTAAATAGGAAATAAAAGGCTTTATTTACTTTATATACATATTAATTACATTTTTAAACATACACTTTATAAAAAAATATAAAAAAATACATTTAAAAATATAAAAAATAGTAGACCACCGACATCGGGTACAGGGACCAACACACCGGTGGTTAGGATTCCAAAGATAGGAACCTCCTCACTATACGAGCCGTGTCAAGGAGGACTGCCTTCTGCATCAGACCCTTGATCCAGCCGTCCAACGTGAGCCTCTTAAGGTGTTGGTCGAGGCTCTTGGCTATCAATCCGTGAGCAGATACGACTATCGGAACAATGATCACTGAATCAACATTCCACATATCGACAATCTCTTGAGATAAATCCAAATATTTAATTTGTTTTTCTTTTTCAACTTTCACGAGATTCTCGTCATGAGGAACGGCGATATCAACAATCATTGCGCGGCGCTCTAATCGATCTATCAGCACAATATCAGGCTTATTGGCAACAATAGTAAAAAAAAGGCTTTATTATTATTATCATACCCTAAATCTCTAATTTATATATATATATATATATATACATATATATCGATTGCACAGACTGCGCAGTGGTTTAAGCAGTCGCCACGCCGCATACTACTTCGCTGAGTTTTTGGGTCCGATCCCCACACTTTGTGTGATCCACAAATTGTTGTTCTGAGTCTGGGTGTTCTTTGTGTCCATTTCATGTATGTTTGTAAAGTCCCTCGCCACACAGGATATATTCCTAATGCGGGAGTTGTCTTTTATAAGAAATGAAATAAAATCTTTTTCTTCTCTGACGTGTCGCTCTTGCCAGTCGCTTTTTTGTGTTGTGCGCTTAGATCTTTTAAACTAAGCTACTGATTTTAATACGGTTTTCACCAATAGATAGAGTGATTCAAGGGGAAGGTTTATATGGTTACTCATAATATATGCATATTATAGTACAGAAAATCCGAGAATTTCAAAGGTTAACCGTAAAAAACATGTTTTTGTGCGCTTACATCCGTGATCAAAAAAGTCCGTGATCTTCTAAGGTTAACACACAATAAACAATTAAACGTTATTCGTTATTAAAAATTTCGTTATTAAAAATATGTTATTCCTTATCCAATTAAATACGTTAGATACGTTGTGCATTTAATTCAGATTAACTTACATGGGACTAATCCCACCCACACGCCCACCACTGTAACTCCTGTACACCAGGATCCACAGCAGTGACCCACGAACACACCTAGTTATGACACTCGGGAAGTCCCAGGAAGAAATTAAACTGTCTTGGAACTCACAACGAAATTAATCAGAAGAAAATTGGAGGAGTTGGAAATACAGTAAATCCACTCAGCATTGGCACCATATCATTAAAATGAATATTTTAGAACATATTAGAGGTTTAAAATGCGTGGGGCAACTACCGTCGAACCATACGTCCGTCCCGTCTGACAGCAGCGGCCTCCTGGCAAGATCGGAGTGGGGCCTATAAATATTGCATTTATTAGACATATCATAATAATAATATAATTAATTACTCCGTAGTAACGCCACATTAGTAGCATTAGAAGTATCTACATTGCACCCGTGCGAAACCGGGGCGGATCGCTAGTGTATGTTATAACATTGAAGTTTGTTTCAATAAAATCCCCCAAGATGCTCCGTTCAATTTTGGCTGCCTTAGTTAATTCCCTTAGTCTTTAGAGCACTATATTACTAGCATGAGCTAGATACCAAAATTGCAGCCTTTTT